TAGCATTCGGATTGAATGTCTCCGGTAGCCTCGGACGTGCCGCCTTAAGATTCGCTGTAGCTACTGCCGCTGCTGCTGGATGAAGTGTCGGTATTTCTGCTGCTGCTGATGACGTTGCTACTACATTCGTCGCTGCGTTCGCTGCTGCCGTGGAGGTCGCCAACTGGTTCGCGAGAAGCTCTTCTATTCGGTGGAGTGCTGCTCGCGTCTGGTCCAGGCCGGTGTGTAACTCCGTAATTTTTCGTACGGAATTATCACCATTTTCCTCCATATGGCAATTTACAGGAAAATATGCGACGAAAATAATTGAATTCTAGGCGCTGGTCCTCTTACTGTGAGTCGAATCGACTGTAGAAATGACAAGCGCTGATTCTGTAGGTTACGTAATTCTCCTTTAATTTAAATTCGCGTGCGATCACGGCCGTACAGAAGAAATTCGATCCGACGCTCCAAATTCCAACCTTTTTGGGCAAAATTCTCAGGGCTGTTGAGATTCAAATCAATTCGACGGTCGAAATTCCAACTTTTTCGCCACTGGACCTGAGGAGTGTTCGAAAACCGGTTCGAGGGGGACGTTAGAGAATAGCGCGGAACTGGCTTACGTACCCGGAATCGGCGCTTTCCGTCGTTGCCCCCGCGGTTTTAAAAGCTAGGTTTGAGCGGTCGAAGAACTTCGCTTGCAAACAGGCTCTGATTACCAAGTGTGATAATCTAGGATCGAGCTCAAAAAAGAGAATTGTAATGGAATGATCCTGGGTACAACACGAGGCTATATATAGGCTCGACACAAGGCCTAGTAACCAGGTGTTACGCGAAGGTTCCGCGGGTCGCGAAGCGTCCCGAACAGATCCTTCCCGAATTTGGTAGAAGGCAATTCGGTGGCAACCGAAAAGCCAGAATTCGGTGCACGCAACCTAGCTCGGTGCTATAACTAAAATAAAATATAGGAAAGTACCTAGCCTAGAAAACCAATCAATTTATGCATGCATATAATTATCCTATGCTAGAAATAGCATGATAAAGTAAAGGCAAGCAAGCGTAGCTGGCATAAACCGTCGTACTCTCACATAAATGAGGATCCGCAAAACAAGACCGTGCACCGACCAGGAAACTCCAGCTGTACACCCCAACAAGAAAGAATATTACTTCTCGTGGGTTTCAAGCCTTTATTAAGAGAGAGTCAGAAATCAAACCGGTACCAAGTAATATGGGGACCCTACTCCGGAGCGCTAATAAGGGTCGAGCGTTCCGAGGAGCTAATATTCTCTCCCAACAGCTCTGTTTAAAGGCTCCCTGTTTCCCACAGATGAATCCTACACAACTCCAAAGGCTTAGGGGAAGGTTCCCGGCTCAGGATAAGCTGTACCAGCCTCGGATAAATCGTTCTAACCCTACTCAGTTGATACCTGATATTAAGACAGCAGCTTCGAGCGCAGGACCAAGGGATGATGCATTTGATCTACCGTATGATCCTATAAGCAACACCATCTACAGCTACTCAGAGCGGCAAAAACCACTAGTACTCGAGGTGATATGCAACGGGCGACGCCTCCAGGCCCTGGTGGACAGTGGTGCGTCCCACTCGATGTGCGACCGCGGGATGTTGGACAAAATTGGAGAGTCATCGGAGGAGATCCAATTTACAGCAATGATGGTAGACAGTACAAAGCTTCCCATCCACGGCGATTCAACACCCCAGCAGCAGAAAGGAGCGTAAAGGTGGAAGCCGACGTTGCTGATCATGAACATCAAGGGATTATATTTGATCTTGGGGCGTGATTTTTTGAAGCGGTTCAACCCTGAGATCGACTGGGTCAGCCGGAAGGAGCTGAGAAGTTGGACGGATAAAGGGAATGTTCCAAAAACAACATTAGCACGGTCCGAACGGACGGTGAACAAGAGTAACACGAGATACTTAGCATTGGTTATGGCAGCAGCAGAGGAGAAAAGGTCGAACACGCAGCTACCTGCAGCAGTACAGGAGGTGTTGGAGCAGTACAAGGACATCATGCAAGATGACTTGCCTGTGGGAGTGCCTCCAGCATGCACCCACGAGCACGAGATCCTGGAGGAACCAGGTGCGAAACCCGTCTCACGTGCACCATACCGCCTTGGTCCAACCGAACTGACAGACATGAAGAAGCAAATAGAGTATCTACTCGACAGACAACTGATCCGCCCATCCACCTCTCCTTACAGCGCACCGGTTCTCTTCACTCCAAAACCAGACGTCAGTTTACGGATGTGCATTAACTACCGCGACTGAACAAACAGACAGTCAAAAACAAATATCCCATACCGCGCATAGACGACCTACTAGAACAACTGCGTGGTGCAACAGTTCTTTCGAAGCTGGACCTACGGTAGGGCTACTTGCAGATCAAGATGGCGGACAACTCGATCCCCAAGACGGTGTTCCGTACCAGATACGGCTCCTACGAATACTTGGTTATGCTGTTTGGACTATGCAACACACCAGCAACGTTTCAAGCGGAGATGAACCACATCCTACGGCCCCTGCTGGACGAGTGTGTATATTGGAATCATTGAAAAGGAATGAATGAACTAGCAGTGAAATGAGTACAAGTACCTAACCCTAGAATTGTGTACCCCCTATAGGCTAACCCACTGTAGCCTAAACTAACACAACATATATAATGTTTGACACACCCCCATAGGCAAAGTGGGGGAGAACTAGGGGTCACAAGACCAGTCAAGGCAAAGTAAGGCAAAACAAGCTCAGGGTGGATCTCAAGGATACCACACAAATTCCGAGCACAAGCAAGTGGTCACAAGACCAGTTCACATGCAGGTTTATAATAGAGCAAAAGGTACAATGATCACAACCTAACAAGAGTAAAGATGCAGGTATATATATAGAGATCACACTACAAACAGACTCAAGAAGTAAGCAAGTGAGGTCCAGTAGGCACAAGGCCTAGAAGAGTGCAAAAGCGCTGATGGTCACAAGGCTGAAGCACCTTGGTGAACACATCAGCAGTGTTGGCCTCAGAGGCCACATAACGCAGGCGAAGCTGACCACGTTGCTGCAGCTCTCGAGCAAGGAAGTAACGCAGAGCAATGTGCTTCGTTCTGTGCTCCAGTCTGTGCTCCTCACACAAGGCAATGGCTACCTTGTTGTCGACGTACAGCACTGGAGGAGAACGAGGCTGCTCTCCAAGGTCAGTCAGCAGGTACCGACGAAGTTGCCACCAACGAAGTTACGGTACCGACGGTCCACCATTGCTGGGCAACTCCATCTCCTCCCTTGACTGTTGAAGCTCCAGCAAACGATAAATCTCCCATGCGGGACAGCTCAAAGCCCACTTCCGAGAAGTTTGAGTTGAAATATGAAGAAGCTTACGATCGTTACAAAACTAAGTGGTGTACCGGTTAAGCGTGGTTGATTCTTACTAAAACTTCTTCTGGTGCCCCTACTTTCTAGTGCAGCACATGCTTGTAGTTTGCTAAATTGACAGGCAAATTTGGACAGCGTGGAGAAGGCGCTACCGACGTGCAGACGCAGGCCTTCAAGAAACATGAAGGGACCGTGAAGCATCGGTCAGCTCTGCACAGGCACGAGGACCTATTGCAGAAAGTGGAGGGACGGTAGCGCATCGACCTACATTCAAAAGTACAGGACAAGGAGCTATTGCAGTTCTCATCTCTCGTAAACTCGTTGTACTTCATGGGCAAGTGAAACGAGCCCATAGACTCGCGGATTCGGCTTGTGCACTACCTTGCAAAAAAGAAGGTACCCGATTTTTCGGTGCAGGGATACGGCACCTACTACAATACGTAAGTATGTTTGGTTGCATTTACTTTATTTACATTCACTCTACCTACATTTGTCCCTTACTACCGTCTTTTTTTTTTAAATGCTCACTCTAGTGTGTATGAGCGTGCTCTTGTAGAAGCTCCTAAGGAAGATTCTGATTCACAGATGTGAGTGAGATGTTCAATAATAAAGCATTTATCAAAATTTATAATCAACTTAATTTTTGGATGTAACACTGATAGTTCAGCCTGAAAATTTTGTGTTGTTTGAATTTTCAGTCTAAAACTTTGAGGCAACGATGACAGACAGTGGTCCAAGAGGGGTGCACGCTGATCGCTCAGCATACCTTACAACCAATCTAGGGGCCTGCTTCTGGCTCGACTCGGCCATATCAGCAATGACACCGACAAGATCTTACTCCAGAATTGAAAGGGAGTGCTCGAGTAAATAAATTACTGAAATAAATAATGAATGCAATTTAGTAACAGGCAGTAGCGCGAACCGTCTTGTGACTGTTTGTATGACATAGGAAAATACCGCTTTAGAGTCGACTCGATAAATAGCGCTGTTCGTGAATAGTCTACATCATCGGATAGGTACTACACTAGACTATAGTTTTGTACATTCTCATCATTTCTCAATACTAGTACAAAAATTCATACAATATTTCCAATGCAGCACCATAGTTAGAGACTGGACAATAGAAGATCATGCGGCACACAAGGAGCACACTAGTGAAACCATATCAGTTGTTTGAAACGAGGTTATGCTAATATCAAATAAAACGTGCAACGCGAGCTCGCGGAGTAAACCTATTCGTGAATTTTGCTCAGAGCATTTCCGCGTGAAGCGAACCGAGTTTTCGGTGAGTCGCCTGCCATCCTATTCGTGAATTTTGTCACCAGCGCGCACCCATTTGATCGCCGCAACCCTACCGTCAATCACCGCCTCCCACACTCCCTCGCAAATCTACGCGCTCACCGTCACAGCCGCACCAGTTCAAGCGCCCAATCTGTGAGCACATATTAGTCCAAAGGCAAGCTGCAGATTTTATCACAACCAAAGCCTACTCGACTAGTCGTCACAAAGCTTCCTCGCACTTCGAAACCGCTTTTAATCTCTCACCACTGCCTCCCTTAGCCACCCGCACAATATTCGTACCTCCTAGTTCCAGCAGCGATCCCTCTTGACTGCACCCGTTTCCTACTACTACTATCGTCTCATGGCGCGTTCTCCTCTAGCTTCCTCACTTGTGGCGGTACTGCTTGTAACCGCGCTATTCGCATCATGCGCACAGTCTAGACTCGTCTCCAACGGACTGCTCGGGAACCGCATCCCGAACCGACCAGCTCAAGTCACCAGCACCATCACTAGTACCGTGTCCGACCTAAAAAACGCGCTGCAAGCGCAAGTCAGTTCATTGGAAGGGGCGCTGACGCAATCGCTCAACAAGCTTGCAACCGCGTTGAACGACAACGCATCCGCGGCGACATTGGCACTTCAAGCGCAGATATCCGCCATCCAGAGCAGCATAGACTCTCTCAACGCACGCATTGCGAACCTCGACCTTATTCTATACCTTAGAATCACGCGACCCGGCGGCGTTGCTCCCCAGACGACTCCTGTCGCACTCCAGTCGCACATCTTGTCGCTAAAAGGCAGCATCCCCGCTCTCAACAAGCGCGCTACATCGCTCACCACAGACCTGGCTAGCATCCTCCCCAACCTCCGCGCATTGCTGAGTCAGCGAGTGGCGGCGCTCAGTGAGAGGGTGGGTGCACTGAATCTGGACGTGTCGGCGCTCGCTGCGCAGGTGGACGCGCTGATCGCCCCGCTGAGTGACGCCCTTGGCGTGGCGGACCTCGTGGCTCTGCTGCCGCACCCAGCAGGTCAGCCCCGCAAACTCTAACCCCGCAAACACTAATTCCGAAAAACCCTAATCTCGAAAACCCTACCCCCACACATCCCAACCCCGCAAACCCTTACCCCACAAACCCCACTGTTGATGTGCCCCGACTATGCTTGTGCTCATTCTTGCACCATCTGCTGCTGCTCTTTGTTGCGCCATCTGCTGCTGCTCTTTGTTGCGCCATCTGCTGCTGCTCTTTGTTGCGCCATCTGTTGCTGCTCTTTGTTGCACCATTTGCTGCTGCTCTTTGTTCCACCATTTGCTGCTGCTCTTTGTTGCACCATCTGCTGCTGCTCTTTGTTGCACCATTTGCTGCTGCTCTTTGTTGCATCATCTACTGCTGCTCTTGGGCTAAATCTCTACTTCTTCTCTTGATGATTCCCATCACTGCAGGCATGCTGCGTGGCGGGCTCACCTCGTGAGAGGGCCTTCTCCCGGTGGGAGCAGCCAACATCCAGATCACCAAAATGTAAGCCACGGCTCCTCACTCTCCTCATTCCTGCCTGACGTCATCGCCACATGATTCATTCCACAATATTACTACCACTGCCATCAGCTCTGACTCTCACAATTGTTCCGCCTAGTACCCTCCAGCTAAGTACTGAAAATGAATATCCCAGCCCCCGCCCCTCTCCCCCCCTCTCCTCACGGCAGGGGCTCGGCGTACGCAGTGGCATACCAGCTGGTGGCGACAGGCATGGCGGAGGCACCGCAGGCGGCGGCCATCTACAGCGGTAACAGCACGTGCGGCTAGGCAGCCCCACCCGTGGCGCTGCAGCTGCCCGGCACGTGGCAGCTGCTGAGCTCCGTGTCGTGGTCACTGGCCAATGTGCTCACTGTCGCGCCGGCGGACGTGGCGCCCGTGCTCAGCGCCATCCAAGCGGGCATCAATGGGCAGCTCTACATTGGCTTCGCGGGCACCAGCAGCAGCTTGTCGGGAAAACTCATTGGTGGCAGGTTCTGACGGAAAAGGGGAATAGGAGATGGATGCACGAGGTGATCGGAGGGAAAGGAGAGTCGGTGACAAGAGTGGCGAGGACACGTGCGGCAACAGGAAGAACAGCGCGGTAGTAGTCAGAGATAGGAGTGGGGGGGGCTGTGACAGAGGACCGAGGAGGAGACGGGAGAACGGACACATGAGAAGGAGAACGACGACGAGACGAACAAAGGAGGGCAGTGTGGAGGTCAGTAACAGGGGACGAGTGACGAGCACGCGGAGGACAAAGGGTGATCAAGTCGCGACAGACAGAAGGAGGAGGAGACTGAGGAGGAGGAGAAGACCAGACCGCCGGACGATCGTGAGGAGGAGGCAACGGAGGAACAAACACAGGAGGAGACAAGGAGCGGACAGAAAGAGAGGAGGAAAGGCCAAGGGCCCGCAGGCCACTCACAGGTGGGAACAACTGCCGCTCCAGAGGAAGCTGCGGGGGCGGCTGCAGCTGCTGCTGCTGCGGCTGCGGCGGCGGCTGCGGCTGCTGCTGCTGTTGCTGCTGCTGTTGCTCCTGCTGCTGCTCCAGAAGGTCCAGCATCCGCAGCTCCTGCCGCTCCCTCTCCAACCGCTCCTGCTCCTCATGCTCATGCCGACGAGCAGCTTGGAGACGCGTGTCGTGGCGGTGGGGAGGCGGAGTGGACTCCGCAGAACCAGGGTCTCCAGCTCCAGCCTCCTCAGACTCAGCACCCCCAGGATCAGCACCGCTAGTGCCAGGACCTCCAACTCCAGCACCCCCAGAACTAGCACCGCCAGTGCCAGCACCTCCAACTCTAGCACCCCCAGAACCAGCGCCACCTACGCCAGCACCCCCAGCTCCAGCACCCCCAGAGCTAGCGCCATCTGCGCCAGCACCTCCAGCTCCAGTACCCCGCGACCGAGCACCCCCAGCGGCTGCACCTCCAGCTCCAATACCAACAGAGTCCACAGTAGCCTGTCGTGGAAGTGCCGAAGGCTGCTGAGGGGACTGTGAGGAGGACTACGGAAAGGGAGACACTACCTGACGCGCGGCCGAGGGTAGAGGGGTAGCGTGGGACACACCAGACGGGGCAGGACCAGGGGGGGGGGGGTACCGGAGGAGCGGGAGCAGGAGGAGGAGAGGGTGCGAGGAAAAGAGGGGGAGGGGGTACCGGGAGACCTCGACAGGGGTACCGGGTGTAGTAGGACACGGACTCGTCAAACCGGACGTCACGAGAGTCTAGGAACTGGTGGAGGGAGGGTGGTAAAAGGACCAGTCGGCAGAGTCCACTGGGAAACCAAGGAAGACACAGGAGACGGCGCGTGCCGAGAGCTTGTCCGCGGAGGTGTCGCGAACAAGCGCAAGGCAGCCCCAGACTCGAATGGCCGACCCGACACCAGGGGAACCAGTCCAAAGACTGGTCGGTGAAGCCTCGGGCCGCGAGACACGCGGCTGGAGGTTCAGCTGGTGTGCGGCGTAGCGAACCGCGTGGGGCCACAGAAAATGGAGCGCACGGGCATGGATCATGGACGTGCGGGCGATGTCCATGACCAAGCCTATGCGGCGCTCAGCAACCCCATTCTGCTGTGGGGACTCAGGCAGCGTCCAGGACAGGGTGATGCCCTGTTTGCCGCAAAATCCGCCGAGAATGCCGGAGCAAAACTCGCCCCCACGGTCGGAGTGGAGACAACTGACTCGACGACCACGAGTGCCCTCAGTGGCTAGAAGCCACCTGATTCGCGTAGCAGTCACCTCAGACTTCTTCGCAAGAGGGAACACTGTGGTGTACCTGGAGAAGTCGTCGACGACCACCAGAAAGTAATGCTCCCTCCCAGACCCCTGCGTCGGGGCAGGGCCCCAGACGTCCAAGTGGAGAGTCTCGAAGGGAGCGGTGGCTGGACGAAGGGAGGAGGAGTGGGGAGTGGCGCGTAAGCGACCAGCGACGCAAGGAGAGCAAGGAGGGGCAAGCGAGAGAGGGAGCGACGAGAAGGTGCGTGGGAGACCAATGACGAGTCCCTGACTGAGCATGCCACGAAGGCGAGGGATCGACGGGTGGCCAAGACGGTGGTGCCACGGGACGGTGCGGTGGGCGAGAGAGCGACAGGAGCAAGACGCGGCGACTGGACTGGACACAGCGACAGGACTGGACACGACTATCTGGCTAGGCACAGCAACTGGACTGGGGACCTGGGCCGGAGGGGACGCAACGACCTGAGGGGAGGAAGCGACCGTGGAGCGCTCGGTGTGGAGAACGTAGAGACCGGAGCGGGGCTCCCTGGCGAACGTGGCCAGAACAGCACCTGTGGTAGCGTCAGTACAGACTGCAATCTGCCCACCCCCCACGAAGGTAAGTGTGATCCCCCTGTCCTGGAGGTATCCAACACCCACCAAGTTCCGAGTGAACGAGGGGATGTGGAGGCCACCCAGGACACCAGAGGGGACCACAGGGCACGGGAGGGTGGTGGAGCTACGCGCAATGGCTGGTCCAGAGGTAGGATCAGCCAGAGCCACCGACACAGGTGTGAGCAGTGGCGTAAGGGTCGTGTGGTCGCGGAAGAAGCATTGAGACGCGCCCGAGTCCAACGTGAACGAAAGAGAGGCCTCAGCCGGTGGGTCACCTGACCCAGTCGCTACACAAGCACCTAGAGTAGCAACACAAGCACCTAAGCTAGACAGGCACAAGGCTACACTAGCAGGAGGCAAGCAGGCTAACCTACGAACACGCAAGCACCGAGATCCATCAGCACTAAAGTCAGCATCAACATACAAAGCATGCTGACGCGCATCGTCCATGGACAAAGCAAATACATCAATCTTACGGGCTAACAGACAAGACCAGCGAGGCGTGACCGCCAGAGGGCCCCAACGAGCCCGGTAGAGGTCGTCGAGGCGGCAGAAGCACCGCGCGGCAGAGTGGTCGTCGCGACCACAGAGACAGGGGCTACTCGGCTCGGTGACGCACCAGTGGGTGCACGGGCCAGCGTCACGGCGAGGGGGACGAGGGGCCCAGCTGGAAGTACTGCTGCTGGGGCTGGTGCTCCCAGGGCCTCCCGGACCCCACTGTGGCGGGGGACCCCAGTGCTGCTGCGGACCCCACTACAGCGGGGGCCCCCACTGCTGGAACTGCTGCGGCGCCTGCTGGTGCTGCTGTCCCTACTACTGCTGCTGTCCGTGCTGTGGCAGGTGCTACTGTGGCTGCTGCTGCTGGGGGGGAACGCCCCCACTGGTCGGGCCACCACCTGTGGGCGGGCGTGTCTGTCCAGCACCTCCTCCAAGCCCCCCTCCCCCAGGTGCACCACCGCCGCCGCCGCCGCCTCCGCCACCACCGGCGCTCCCACCTCCACCGCCACCTCCACCGCCGCCTCCACCGCCTCCACCTCCCCCCTTCCCGCCCTTCTTGCCACTCTTGCCCTGTTTCTGCCGGTCTGCGGCAGAAACGGAAGCGGTGTCCTCAGAGACCGACACAGCAGCAGAAGCGCGGGTAGCGGTGAAAGTGGGAAGTTGAGGGGCGGCACACCCCGCAAAGAGACGGGGGGCCACCGCATCAGTGGCGGAGGCAACGGTGAGGAGACTGCTCTCGATGGTCCCTAGAGCAGTCTCTAGGAGGTCGATAGTGAGCTCAGTGGGGTGCTTCTGAAGAAGCGCGTCGCGGGCAATGGCAAGGCGGTCAGGGAGGCGGGTGACAAACCAGTGCACAGTGAGCCACATGGGGGGGGGGGGAGCAACAAGGAGCTGTGCGTCGGTACAGGCAGCACGGAAACCGGCGTCAAGCAAGCGGAGGTGAGACACGAGATCGGAAACAGTCGCAAATGAGCCTAGGTCGGGAAACACAAACGGCATGAGGAGGCGACTGAGGGAGGCAAAAGAGGGGGTGGAGTAGCGGGCAACAATAGCATCCCACACCCCCTGGGCTGTCTCCACCTGGTCAAAGTGGGCGGCCTCAGTTGGGGGGAGAAGCTCCGACAGTGTGAGAGCGGCGGCAACGTCACGCGAGTGCCACACGTCCCTGGCCAGGACCCGACGGTCGTACTCCGCCTGGGCCGTAGGGGTCGGCTCCGGGGTGGTAGGCAGGGCGGCGGGGGACGAAGGGGCCTGTAGGGCACCAGACGCATGAGCCCACAGAGTGGCGCCGTCCTGTCGCTGGCTGGTGAGGAAGCGCGTGGTCTGGCGCTGCCAGGTGCCGAACTCTACCGGGTGTCCCTCCGCATCGAAACGGAGGCGACGAGACTCCATAACGGAAGACATGCTCGAGGCGGCTGGAGCACGGCGGAGGCTGAGCTAAGAACGAGGAGGACGGCTATTGAGGGCGAGAGACGCCAGGTGGAACGCTACGAGTGAACCGATAGCGGAAGGAGCAAACGAGGTGAGGCGGAGAAAGGCTAGGGACGCCAGGGACGGAGCGACTAGGAGCTAGGGAGGATTCGGCGCTACGGCTAGCTACCGGAGGTATGAGTGGCTGCCAGCCGCTGAGGTGAAGGCCAGTGACCAGGATGGGGAGGGCCCGGGAAACAGGGCGGAGGAGGGGTGAAAACGGTCACGTGCCGAGGGTAGTTGCGGATCAGGCGGGCTAGGGTGATGCTGACGGTGGGAATAGGCGCGAGGGCGGTTTTGACGGTGGGAATGGGCGAGAGAGCGGTTTTGACGGTGGGAATGGGCGGGAGGGCGGTTTTGACGGTGGGAATGGGCGGGGAGGGCGGTTTGACGGTGGGAATGGGCAGGGAGGGTTGTTTTGACGGTGGGAAATGGCGGGGGGAGGGCGCGACGGTATAGGATTGGGGCGTGGGCGACGGGCTAGGCGCGGAGGGCG